TTTTACTAATGTCTTACTCTAGTTTTTTTTTTTTGGTTATGCTAAATATTCTGTTGTTTGATTAATCTTCTGTACGATGTGCCATTTAAACAAACTGAAACAATGGGAACATAATTTGCTGGCGAGGAGTAAAATGGATATGATGATCTTTGATCGTATATATATATATATATATATTATTCCGATTCCTTTTGTGAGGTTTATTTATTTGCTATTATTTATTTGAAGTTGTTTTTCAAGCTTACTGCCTGTTGTGCCTTGTGGGATTGTGTATATACGTTCCTCAAGGGCTCTGAAGGATCATATTTCGTGAGATAGAGCGGAGGTGTTCTGTTATACATATGTCTTATCTTCTCTTCAGTAAGCAGTATACCCTTTTTTGTTTTATAGATGACGGTGAGCTAACGAAGATTGAGACCATATATATATATATTATCGCCTCTTCAATTTCTCGGCAATGAACTCTTGTAGGAGTATTATCTATCAAGTGTGGCTGACGTGACTCTGGAGAATAATCTAAAGGGAACATTAAAGGGTGGTTAGTCAGTGGTTTGGGGGTGGGGGGATCTTACAAATTTTGTTTGATAAACAGTAATAGTGCTGAATTCATGTCTTTTACTAGTTTTTTTTTTGTCTCAAAGCTAGTTTTAATTTTATATTAGGTGTTTTGTGTTGATTTCTTGTTCCAGGCGTTTATTTTTTTTTATTTAGTGCTTAACCAGAGGCTTGTCGTTTTTTTTCTTTTTTTCTTTGTACTAAAAAAAAAAAAAAGATGTGTCTGGTTTCATTTATTTCAGCTGACTTGTCAGTTGAATGATGAGGGAGTATGAAAGGATAAAATTAGATGTTTTGCGCGAGAATAGGTATTTGCGCCTTTGCGAGATTTCATACAGGCCGGTGTCTCACGATTCTTCTTTGGGAAGAGCAGAGGAACCTGTCAGTGTGGATGGTAGGACGTGGGAGATGGTGCAACGGACGGGTCTGCAGGGTTTTCCAGAAAGTTGCCCATCAAAAAGGACTTCATTTACTGTAGATGGCGCGGAGATATGCGCCTTTTTGCGTCGTTCTGACGGGCTGTTCCTTATTTTAGTTGCACAATACCGTCCACCATTAGATGCCGTGGTGTGGGAGTTTCCTGCAGGGTTAGTTAACGACGGTGAAGATGTGAAGAGTGCAGCCTTACGCGAACTGAAAGAAGAAACTGGTTATGTTGCCACTGAAGAAAATATTATAAGTGTGACGGATGCGCTTTCTTATGAACCTGGAATGACTGATTCCTGTTGTCAACTTGTGAGGGTACTTGTGGATGGTGAAGAGGAGGTCAACCGCCGTCCAGCGCAGGAGTTAGACGATGGTGAGGATATTGAGGTGATTCTGCTTCCATTGTCTTCAAAAAAGGCCGACAACGCCAGTGAAACTCCCCTGCAGTCGTTGAATAAACTCTTGCATGAAAAAAAGAAAAGTCAAACGCGGCTAATTGTTGATGCACGGTTATACATGTTTTTAGATGGTCTTTCCCAAGCGAAGGCGGTGCTTTGGTAGCATGAGGTAAATAATTAAAAAAAGTGTACTCGAGAAAATTGGCGTCACACATTATTTAGTTTTTTTTTTTGCTGAAGGAGATATTTAAAGAAAAAACAAGGGAGTTTGATGGAGGGGATTCGCAAAAAAAAAAAGTAGTTTATCCAAGAGGTATTTTGTTGTATCTCACATGTTTATATATATATATAGACACATATTTCCTGATGAATGTTTGTGGTGTACTTCATACAGCTGTTTTTCCTTATTATCTTTTTATTTATTTATTTATTTATTATTATTATTATTATTATTATCATTTATTATTATTATTATTATTATTTATTATTATTATTATTGTTTTTTAGGGGGGGGGATGGGTTGGAAATGAAATTAGGTGGCGTTGTTAGCGTCACTTGCTGGCAGCCACAGCAGCATGAACGCTCTCTCGTAGATGGTATCCCGAACGTCTCAGTTCTCGTGCATCGTATATCTTGCAAATGGGCGTTTGCGTCACCCACACCAGTGCCGTTGCCATGGAAGGTTTTTCTCAGCCGGGCTTGGAACATCGTCGGAAGTACAAAGCTTAAATTCAAGGGGGAAATACTTCACATTGGACCCGGTGGAAATGGAGCCTGTCTTTGGCATACATCTTGTCTCCTACTCCTCAGAAGAGGGGGATTTCTACACGCCTGATGCATTACAGGGAAAATATGTTTTAACGAGTGGTGATGAGACAGCAGCGTACAGGAAAAGTGGCAAGGATAAAATGGAGCAGACCGCGTTAGGGGCGGAAACGACATATAATGAGGAGTCACTAGCAATAAATTTACACAACACGATAGATGCTGCGCCATATCGAGTTGCATGGTACGACTACGGCCCCGTGAGTCCCGCCAAACGTTTTACTTACTGTGCTTATCGTCGTCTGCAGGAATTGTCACCGGACTGGCAGGAGTATTACCCCACATGCTGTATCAAGAAACAGCCACAGTGCGTTACGTCAATCAAATCTGGGATTGTTTTATGATGGTTGGTGATGGCTACCTAAAAGCAAAGTGGGTGCTGAAGAAGTACTGCATTCCCATTGACGAGAGTCTTATTCCACGGCCGTACAATATTTTTTGGGAAGAAACTACGCACGAGGAGCGGGTGTGGGCGCATCGACATTCGCATCAGATGAAGGAACTTTAGGCGTTTCAACGGGATGAGGATGAGCTCGTGTTTGCGGCACATCCGATGGATCGCCGGGAGCTATCCTATGGATCTATAAAAAATCTCCAAACCGGGATGCAGGGGGGAACCCCCGTACATTCGCACGACCTACCAGCTCCCCGCGAAGTGGACATCAAAGCCTCACTGCACACGGAAGGAATGAGCAGTGCCCTCATGTCTAGCATAGAGGATGACAAACTCTGGAATCCGGTCCTGCGCTCCCGCCTCCACACCCAGCGCTCGTGGGTGGAGACTGAGTTGTACTCTTTTGAGGACGATGAAATCGCGCGTTAATACGTTTTTTTTTTGTCTTTATAGTGGGTGCAAACATGCCCTTTATATATATATGGCTTTGTTTTGTTTTGGCGTTTTTTTTTGTTCAAGATGTCTTTTGCAGCTCTCAACAGCAAGAACAAAATAAAAAGAAGGAATAAATTGAGGGAATATTTTTTTTTCCGTTAAAACTCTTTTTTTTTGCTTGCTTTGAGCGATGTGCGAGTTCTGTTTTCCTTTTGTTTTTTCTTCCTGTTTTGGCTTCTGGCGTGAATTCCGATAAGGCTGTGGCGGCCGTACTGGTGGTGGTGGTGGTGGCATTCCCTGTTGTCTTCCAGTCACCAGTTAGTGAGTAGGAAGTGAAACAACACGCAGCAGCTGACGTGTCACCTGCGCGATGGCAGATCTCTTGACGTTGCAGCAGATCACAGAGCTGAAGGAGGCCTTCGCCGTGTTTGACAAGGACTCCGACGGGAGCATCACAGTGGATGATCTTGGTGAGGTCTTCGAGGCCATCGGTCAGAAGGTATCACGGAAGAAGCTCCATGCGATGATGGCCGAGGCCGACTTGGACGCCAATGGTGTGATTGACTTCCCGGAGTTCCTCACGCTCGCTGCCACCAAACTCAATGACCCGGAGGAAAAGGAACTGGAGCTGCGCCGCGCCTTCAGCATCTACGATCTTGGAAATACTGGGTTTATCAATGCCACTGACCTGCGATTTGTCATGGGCCGGTTAGGCTGCCCTCTCTCAATGGCGCAGGCATTTGAGATGATCGGCGAGGCAGATATTGACGGGGATGGATGCCTAAGCTTCAACGAGTTTCGGCGGGTTATGATCGAGGGGTGGCCTTGAAGTGTGGAAGCTCGATATATATATATATGCAACAACCGCAAAAAATTGATGTCTTGTCTCTTGCAAGAGTGTTCCACTGCTCTACATGTAAACAATAGCAGGAAGGTAGGTAGATGGAGAGAGAGAGAGAGGGAGTAGGATGATGTTTTGTAAAATGTGGGTTAAACTCTTCTTAGCGCTCCCGCAATGGGGTGCGTATGCCTGCTTACGCGTAGAATTTCTGATTTCTCCCTCTCTTTCTTTGCCTTGCTGTACCAGAGTTGCTTTTCACGCCAGGGTGGGCGGTGGAGGGAAGTCGGCAGCAGGTGACCAAGCAACAAGCAAACGGGCAAGGGGGGACGCACACAGAGAGGGAGATAGAGAGAGAAAGAGAAAACGAAGCAGCGTCGTAATAATAATAGTATATTCACCCATCTATATCTAAAAGGCAAAAAAACAACAACAACGCACACACACAAAAGAAAAA